AAAATCCAATAGTATCTACCCTTCTGCAAAGAATATCTAGCACTCTTATGAGTCTTGTGATTAACAGTATCCATTCTTCTTAAAAAAATTGATTTTGGTTTCTTTTGCATGCACTTCAAAGTTACCAGAAAATTGAAAAAGGTGATTGAAGTGTGTCAAAATGGCTCAAATAGCTTGATATAGTTTTAAGGTTCCTTGGTAATAATACAAGATGTTAGAAACTTAATGTAGATGTTTTTCAAAAAAATCAAGTTATTTAAAATGTGGAAAAAGTTAATTGGTGTAAATCAAAACGATTCTAATCAATTAAAAGTGACTCCATGATACATAATAAGGATGATTATATCAAAAAAATTGATTTTGGTGACTTTTGAAAGCATTTCAAAGTTGGCAGAAAATTGAAAAAGATGATTGGGGTGTGTCAAAATGGCTCAAATAGCTTTTGTTTGTAATTCCTTGTATTTTATTACCTTCTTCGTATCTTCTGCAACTAATATTTAGTGTTGTTCCATCAGTACCTAGTCTTCTGTCAGCAATATCTCGTGTTCTGCGGACAGCATCTCGTCTCTGCTAGCACTTACTCTTCTATCTACGCAATACCTAATATTCTAGTAGCAAAATAACAAAAATCCAATAGTATCCATCCTTCTGCAAGGAATATCTAGCACTCTTATGAGTCTTGTGATTAACAGTACCCACTGTTCTTAAAAAAATTGATTTTGGTTTCTTTTGCATGCACTTCAAAGTTACCAGAAAATTGAAGGAGGTGATTGAGGTGTGTCAAAATGACTCAAATAGCTTGATATAGTTTTAAGGTTCCTTGGTAATAATACAAGATGTTAGAAACTTAATGTAGATGTTTTTCAAAAAAATTAAGTTATTTAAAATATGGAAAAAGTTAATTGGTGTAAATCAAAACGATTCTAATCAATTAAAAGTGACTCCATGATACATAATAAGGATGATTATATCAAAAAAATTGATTTTGGTGTCTTTTGAATGCATTTCAAGTGTCAGAATGGCTCAAATAACTTGGAAAAGATGGTTAGAACCTTAATAGAGATGTTTTTCAAAAAATCCAATCTTTCCTGCAAAAATCCTAACTAGGTATTTGTGTATTTTAAACAAATTTTTTATATATCTACTCAACAACAGATGATTTTTGTGTCTAATCAAAAGTAAATTGGCCTGGGAGGTTGTTCATAAATCAGCGTCGCGGAAAAAGCAATCAATTCGAAATCGGGAGCCTCAGCGCGATTCCGAATTACAATCCGAAATGCATGAGTTAATTTAGTCGCGGACCGGGGCTCCGATTTATCGACTGATTCGGTGGTGCGAGGGGGGCGTTTCCACCCCCGTTTAGAAATATTAAATGAGTCGAATCCCGGGTTCGAATAACCACGCCATACAGAGCATCCTGTCCGATTGATTCCTGAGTTATGAGCACGACGCCGACGCCACCGACGCCGGTGCAATACCGAATCCGTCATCGGATTACGTTAAATATTGCATAACAATCGATGAACCAAACGAGGAGGATATATTTATGATCAACCCCTTTATACTGAGAAATGACAATGCTTAACCACAGGAAACTAACAATTTAACAACCAAATTTTTTCAAGATTTATGTCTCAAAACACTTTGAATAGAGTTCACTTCACGCAAAATCATGACTCAGGTAAGACTTTGTTTCTTATTTGTAAATTTCATAATCCCTATTTTTAGTAAAAGAAAGGTAAAATGTCTTCTCAGGTGATCTATAACAGTTTCGTCCTTGTTAAAAAAAATCCGGCAAAGAAAGAAAAAAAAAGCAAACTTTAAAATTGGAGCGTAACGAATCCTCTTTTTTTACGGCTTATCTATTATCTTCCGCCGTTTTCATTGTCTTGCGTCCACATCAACATCACGCCGTGAAGTAGGAAGGGGGAGGATCAGGAAGAGGAGGAGGAGAAAGAGGGTTCTTTTTCTCAGAAACTCCAAGTCCCATCTACACGCGATAAATTTCCCTATCCTTGCAGATTCGCTCGTATATATGCGAGCCGTTTGTCGACTTCCGTTTTTCCGGTTCGCTGCCGGGAGAAGAACGCTTTCGTTTCGCCAATACCCAACTTTTTTTTTTACAGTTTTCTTTCTTTCCAGTTCGGATCTCCTAGAAATACAACCTGCATAGTTCAGCGAATGTCTCTTGACATCAAACATGAAAAAAAGTCTGACTCAGAAATGAATTAATTTAATGTAAATAAAACCAGTAGTGTTTTACCAGCAATATATCGTGTTGTATCAACACCATCTCGTCTTTTGCAAGCATTTATTCTTCTATTAGCCTTATTCACTCTATCATTATCAGTGTCTAGTCTTTTTTTTTGCGACTCCTAGTGTTTTATTAGCAGTATTTAGCCTTCTGCCATGGTATCTAATCTTCTGCAAGTAATATTTAATGTTGTGCCATCAGTACATAGTGTTCTGTCAGCAATATCTCGTGTTCTGCCAATAACATCTCGTCTCTACAAGCATCTATTCTTCTATCTAATATTCTAATAGCAAAAATCCAATACTATCTATCCTTCTGCAAGCAATATCTAGCACTCTTGTGAGTCTTGTGGTTAATAGTACCTATTGTTCTTAAAAAAAAATTATTTTGGTGTCTTTGCATTTATTTAAAAGTTGGCAGAACATTGAATGCATTTTTTTACATTTCTGAAGTGATACCCTATATTGCCACATTACTGATTTAAGAACAGGAGCAACCCTAAAACCAGGATACTTTAATTAATAATTAGTGATATTTCCACAAGGATCCATCAAGAAATTAATTTTATGCCGAATTTTGAAAATTATCGGTGAAAATTGCAACATCGAAAATTTTATCAAAACTTCAAACATTGTTTTCTCAAAAACTAAAAGTGATTCTATAAACAAATTAC